TACTTTTATTGTTCTTCAGCCATTATCTAATCAATACATCAGGACTGTAGCTTACCTTCCTGAACTACTGGCTGTTTGTCAGCCTCGAATTTTTCACAATAAACACTGATTATGTTGACAGATGCAGCCAACAACTGCATGGCGCACCTCTCTTTTTTCTCGAATTATTAACTGGTTTCTGCTGAGAGAGATGAATCTAGACTTCAAAATATTATTATCGAAATTGCCTCTGTTTATAATTTTTCGTAAAGACATTGGGTACACATAAATATTTTGCATATGTAGAATCTGCCTGTCTGATGCAGACTTTCTTCTAATCGTTCGTAATTAATATTTTATGTACAAATGGAAGCTGCTTTACACAAGGAATTGCGTAGACAGAAGGCTGACAGGGGGTATGATGACGAGTATGCTGACTGTCATACAGTCACGTGGAGGTTACACTAAAGTCTTGGTATTGACCTTGGATGGTGTAAGACACGCATAATGACATTTTGATTGTTCACATTCACCAATAAATTCAACATTAACCATTCCAGGGCCATACTTGTACAGATATGATTTTGTATGAAAATCAGAGTTTGTCGTTTAGATGAACAATTATCATCATAAAATAAACATGGATTCCAATAATTGTGTCGTTTTTTATGAGTGAAAGGATCCAAAACACATGTTTTTCCATCGTTTGTATGAAAATCAGTGGAAAAATCTGCCAGTTCTGCCACTTTAGATAACTGACGCAACTTCATGTCGTTATAGACGCATTATTTATCAAATATAACACGTATAGTGTCTGAGAAACCACTGGAAACTGGTGATTCCGAGAGATAATGGTTTAAATATTGTGAAAAAGATACACTAGGGACAAGTTAATAACTAGAAACAAGAACATTACGATTTCAAAACCTTTATTTTCTCTACACTGGAACTTGTAAAACATTCAAAAGCCACCATGTTTTTATGTAAGTAATGTAACACCGCAGAATTTCAAAAGGTCAAGACAGGAAAATAATAATATAGAAAACTGATTGATCGATGATATAAAAACGTTTGCACTTGTGTGAATAGGCGAGTTAATGTATTATATATGAATTATCATCACTAATTAATAAACAGCTACGCCCTAGTGCAAATGTGTAAGTTCTAATATTTTTGAGAATATTTAGAATGAAAAGAATAATCTATATATGATATAAAATCGTTTAACCGATAAATAACACACGTGGGTGAACAGGTGAATTAATATATAAATATATGTATGAATGCAGTAGTAGTATTATATTTTGATTAAAGTGTCACACGCACAATAACATTTTATCTTTAAATATATGTACATGGAAATCATTATCATTTATTAAACAATATTTACAATGCCTTTGTAAAGGGGAACAGGTGGCTTGGCATGGTGGTGCCTGTTTCAATGAACAACCGTAAAATACCACATCTAAATTAGGATGAGATACGACGATGATCTCTAAACATAAAATTTTTAACATAATTTTCAACAGAGGGTGTGTCTATACAAACGATAGGTGCATAATTTATTACCATTAACTTTTCCAGCATCATTCCATAAAGATTCTTTTCCCCATACACAATTAATACAACGTTTCGAACCCCAGTCATTATAAATTCAACATTCACAGTTATATTGAGATAACAACTTAAACACTCTAAAATCTAATGAGATTCGGTTTTTTGCATCGCCCATAAGTGTATCCTTTTTTTATGCGTCTGCTACGCATAGATTTAAGTCCAAAAATATAACGAAAACATTCGTCCTTTTGTGAAACATCTACAGAGCACCCACCAATAACCCCTCTTATTGCATTTACTGCTGCATTCTTACCAATGCCAAGAAACATTCTACATTCCTTGTTTTGAACTACTTGTACTTCCTTAGACTTATTTATACCCCAAATACTCGCACCATCAAACAGTAAAGGTTCAACAAGTGAATTATAAAACTTTGTAAAAACATCATAAGACATACCCCCAGCGTAAATAAACTTAGTGTACAATGCAAATAAAGATTTACTGGCGGATATACACAACTCCTTTACAGTAAGATGCATATCCATTTGCATATCCACAAGCCCAAATAACGGTGGTGGTGGTGGTGGAATTGGGTTTAACGTCGTGCTCGAGAATATTTCGCTCATATGACGACGTGCATGCGTGTGTATGTGTATGTGCGGCTGCTTGTACTAGCCCAGACTTATGCTGGTTTTATAGTGCCAGCCCTCTGTGATACCATGCCGCAGTGAAGCATGAATACCCCACTCAGACACATTATACTGACTCCGAGCCGACCACGGAGGCGGTCCCCAAATAACGGTAAAATGTATCATAAACAATTGTGTTATCGCAACAAGTAAAACCAAGACATGATTTAAGAGCAGATGTTTTTTTTTTAAAATGAATGATTTTAGTTTTCTCATGATTTACAGTGAGGCGCCATTTTTACACCAAATATTTAAGATATGTAGCATCCGGTGGAGAAACTGTTCATCAGGCTCTATAAAGGCAATGTCATCAGCATACAATAGACTACATAAGATTTCAGCATCAGTGGGTACACCACATTGCAGTTTATTTATCTCATTTGTCAAGTCATTTATATACACAGAAAACAGCGTTGGGGACAGTTTCCAGCCTTGTCTCATACCTTGGGATACTGGGAAATAGTCCGTGGTGTGGTCATTTAACACAACAGCACAGTTCACATCGTCATATAATTTCTGCACTGCTTTCAGTGCTTTACCATACACTCCCATAGTCATAAGTTTCTACCACAGGCAATTACGATCAACGGTGTCAAATGCCTTTCTTATGTCCACAAACATTCAAAGGTTGAATAGACAAGTTGATTTCCTGTTATTTATGACATTACAAAGTGTATACAGGTGATCAATACAGTTTCTATCCACACGGAAACCGTTCTCCTCCTCTGCAATGAGCTCAGTTTTAAAACCATTTTCTAAGTCTCATATTTAAAACACAAGCATATAGATCTATACTAAAATAGGTCAGAGGCGTTACTTTTATCCTTTGGAATCGGTTTAATGAGTTCCTACCCCACTGAGCTGGTGATACAGAGTTCTCGAAACAATAACTTATGACACGATGTAACAGCCTTATACAGTGAATGTTCTGTACAACTTCTACCTGAATAATAATAATAAATAAAACACAAAACGTCATACTTCTTTTAATAATACTGCATACTATCTTTAATCTGTAAAACATAATCGTAATAACGATTTTTACTTCTATAGTGCTAAATTCCATACACCAAGTGCACGCTCAAAGCCCATACAAATTAAGTATCATAAGTCTGAAAACATGGGTCTTCATGAATCAAATGATGGGTCACGTTAGAGGGCAGTTCATTCCACAATTTTGGGAAAGATTTTCCACCAAATGTTGCTAACTTGAAATTTGAACTGTAAGACGACACTTGACTTGTGAGCGAAGTGATCTTGCTGGTTTGTAGTGTTGGAGCAGACTGGGCAGGTATGATGGAACTTGACCATGGTGTGACTCGTACACCAGGCACAGAGTCTTAAACTGAATCCCTCTGTGTATAAACAATCAGCATCGAGTTGGCTCTAACTGGCAGCTGACACACATAACTAATAGCCCAGGAACAGTCGCCATCGTGCCATTTGTTCACAGAATGACTAGCGGTGCTGTATATAAAGAGGCAGTCTTGTACCACTTCGTCACGAGGTTGATTGGTATCCTACCAAAACCCTTTGAATTGAAGAGTTCTCTGCCCACAAGTACCTTCCCCTTCTTGTATATCAGTGCCGCCAATCCAGAGATCCGTATCTAAAATTAAATAGTAGCAGTCAACACTTGAGAGTTAAAAGTCAATACCTTTCGAGTACCAAAGACTTAGAAGCCCTCAACGAGCTATAACACACAAAGATATGGTATTTGGTCCGATGGACTGATTCTGATGGGTAGAATTCATTCTACAGGGTTGGAAAGTGGTCATTATCATAAATTCTTGGTGGGTTCCACTAGGCAGCGTTTCCTGGGAGAAGTCCCATTCACTGTCTGGGCTGCGGGTAAATTTAAATCTTTTCCTCTTTACATGAATGTTCTTTGTTCTTATAAATATTTAAGTTATGTATTGTTCATTCATCGTAGCCGAAACTGACCGCGTTTCCTTAATTTGTGATTGACAAATAAGTACTTAACTAGTCACAGGCGTTTGTCAAATATTCAGATTGTAGCACAGATCCGGGTAAGAATTGTTCTTCACTAACCCATGCTAGTCGTAAGAGGCGACTAACAGGATCGGATGGTAAGGCTCGCTGACTTTGTTGACACATGTCATCGCATCCCAATTACGTAGATCGATGCTCATGCTGTTGATGACTAGATTGTCCGATCCATTTATTTACAAACCGCCGTCATATAGCTGGAATATTGCTGAGAGTGGCGTTAAACAACAAACCAACGAACAAACCATTCGCTTTAAGGTTACTGACAAGCGATTTGTAAATGACACTTGGTAAGAACGGATTCGAGAGCTGCGTTACGGTTCTCAACTTTTGAGTACAATCGAGCTTGCACTTTCTGGGAAGGTTGTACCACTCGTGTTTTATCAAGATTTCAACATTCAAGATCTCAGTAAACCTTCAAAAGAGTTTGTGGTATACATGTGGTGAGTGTGAGTTTATTTTATGCCGCTTTTTAGCAGTTTTCCATTAATATCACGTTGAGGACACCAGAAATGGGCTTCACACATTGTACCCATGTGGGAATCGGACCCGGGTCTTCAGCGTGACGAGCAGACGCTTTAACCACTACACTACCCCACTGCCCCTGTAGACATGTGGAGGGCATTTCTTAATTTGTCGCTTCAGTGACGAAAACGTTAACCCATGCAATTCCTCATTTTGATATGCACCGTAGGGTTTAGCAGAGGATTCTTGTGATCGAGGAAAGATTTTGTTGCTTTCATTTACCATAAACATAAAATGCACTTACTTTTTCAAAGCAAAGTGGTTCATCAGTAGATTTGTTTCGAGGTTGTCAACTTTAAGAAGATGTCCGCCATCTTGAATACATGCGATTTCTGCATCCGTCCATGACTTGGGTGAGTCTGTGTAGACCTTATAGCACAGATCAAGTGTCCGATTCCAGCTGTACCCATTGCCACAGCCATCTGAAAATTTATACATATAGAGCTAGGGTCATTTATCAACAATGATGTATCTTAGAGCCAGTGTTTGCCCTTAACCCTGAAAAGCTGCTGGCCCTTAGGTCCGAGAACCATAAAAGTTGTGGGTCCTGATCAGAATGTGTAGGCCCTATGTTTAGCTACAATATAAGTAATTCCCAGCAAACAAATCTGTGACAACTAACAAACTGAGTTGAAGAGTTTAATTCAGGAAACTAGAAATTACTGATATTTGCTGAAAAAATAATACTCTTAGTTATTGAGGATGAAAACGATGTCGGCCATAAGGACCTACCAGAAAAGAAAACCTATGTGTCTGAGTGGATTTTCAGTCGGCTTCGGGCCCAAGGACCGACCTTACCTTCGAACGGTGCTAAGAATTCTCACAACTGTGAACAGAGAATACAGCACTCGTATCTGTTGTTAGGCAAAGTGTCAGCATGATTCGATAAGGGGCTTAAAGCTCAGATGCCAGTAATAACCAGTGTCTTATATTTGTTTTATTGTGTGTCTAGGTTTCTTCGCATCATACCAGTGTTTGTGGGTTCCACCAAAGTGGGTATCATCTTAACTTCTGAACCTGAATCAATTTGGACTTTCGTCCCTCAGAAAGGAGACGCACTGTGATATATATGAAATATTGTTAACTAGTGTTGGGAATTGGTTAAAATCTCATAATTGATGATTGCTTCATTACAACCGATTAATCATCGAAAATAATTGGTTAGTGTCATTTATCCAATGGTCCTGTTATGGTTGTTAATGCACGCACGCACGCACGCACGCACGCACGCACGCACACACACACACAAAAAAAAAAAAAAAAACAAAAAAAACAATAGGAAAATTTGTAGTTCTTCTGGTTTTTCTGCAAATTGTACAAAATGCCTTTGCAAATTTAACATCTTTGAAGGATGACTAGTATGTTAGGAACATAAAATCTTTCCTAGAGCGTTTAAGATAACTTCAATCATCACTAGGAACGAACTTGTAGTGCTTAGGAAATGTAATTTAATGACAGACAAAACCAACCTTGTGAAAAATATTGTTAATGCAAATAAGTGTTCCAAAATTGTTTGTGTTCGATTGTGAGAAAACATGATCAATTGCTTGGTTGTTTAGTTACTGTTACCAATCATCGATCGGACCACCACTGTTAACCCAGTGTAACTTATTCAATGAAAACAGAGGCAATGACAATTCATTACAGAACCATTCAGTCATTTATGTTTAGCATCATAACCAGCGACATCAATCGTTTGCCAGAATTGGATCATTTACAGGAACATCGAGTTAAAAACCTGTACAACCTTATTTGGAAAGATTTTTTTAAAAAAAATGAAAAGAAAAAGGTACCTCGTTTCCACACCAGATACTGCATGTCAGCTGAAACCTGGAGGCCATCCTCGGTGCAAACTGCATCTAACAGGTAACACGTCTGGAGGAGGTCCGATAAAATGCAGAGTAACAAGTGTCGTTGATGTAGCACTTGCGATGCATTCATTTCGCGATTTAACCACTAAACCTTGTGGTAGAGAGGATTTAAAATAACCCTGTAGTGCCAACACAATCTGTAAACCTGTAAACATCATTGATGAGAACTGGTAAGTTGGTGAAGTAACTAAGTATCTCAACAAATGTGTTACTGTATGTCCTACAACAGGACATCTGACTGACGCATAGAAGGTCACTCTCTAAAGGAACTAGTGATAATACGAGAAACGTGCAGTCAATTACAGTGAGTAAATATTTCATCCGAGCTTTTTAAAGTCGGTAAGTGCGCCACGACAAAGTCATTCTGTAGAATTTGAATTTCAAGGAGAGCGTTTGTACAGTGATGAACTTTAATCGCTCTTCAACAATTGTCTACTCAGTATATCAGGACTGTAGCTTACGTTTGTCAGCCAGATGCAGCCTCGAATTTTTCATAATAACCACTTATCCTGTTTCTGGATCAGTTATTTCTGTATGTGTTTCAACAAGAATTCTAGCACGACATTGTGTGATACACGATTCTGATTGGCTGAGAGCTCATCAAAACCGCTAATTAAAGTGACCGATTCACCGCGTATGAATACAACGAACTCGTTGACCCTATTGTTTGTAAACAACGTGTTGGACATCGGCAATTTCTATCTCGGCAGCATCGTTGGTGTTTTTGAATGGTTTGAAGAAGAAATTTTTTTACCCTAATCTCAGTAAAGAAACTACGAAGCTGGAAAATCCGCCAGCAGCGCAAAAGTATATTCAAACCGGGTGCAGATCTACGTGTGTTGACGTCGACAACACACGTCGGCCCACACGTCCTTACCTGACCGCTTCCGTCCCGGCCATAATGCCCAGTCTTTCCACTTCCACTGTCCATGTATCCCACATAAAACGTGGCATGTCAGGTCTTTTCAAATTGGGAATAGTAGGGTGGTTATCAACAATTATGTCCGTGAATAAAGTTAGCGGCGACTAAACTTAGCGAGTTCACGGGTTGAATTTGGACGAGTCGATTGTCATACAGTAGGCCCCCCCTACTCAATAATTCTCTTGACAAAAAACAAATAATTGTACTTGCTCACTGTATAAACTGTATTGCTTTTTATTTATGTATGCTACTTGTTACAAATACAAGCATACTGGATCCTGAAATAAAGCATTTATGTTGTTGAAAATGTCGTATTTTGTTCATTACACAACCTGTCCCTCAACGGGACGATTCCAAGTGATTTCAAGAAAAGGCCCCTTTCGCGCCTTGTCTTCTTGCGCGCCAAAAAGTTCGCTCTTAAAACGCTTATCAGTCGTGCTAGAATGAAGATAAAGCTACTCTAACGCGTTCGGTTTTTAAAATTACATTTAGCGGTCTTAAATCAACGATAAAGGACCGCAAAATTGAAAAACAGAGTAGCTTTATCTTCTAAATCTGATTTGGTGCATGAAAGGTCACTCAGTACATGAACTCAATGAACTGAACAGATACGTAATCTCAATAACAATGAGTTAATATTTTATAAACGCTTTTAAAATGAATACCAGACAAACAGATATCACTAAATGAGACACAAGGCAGACATGGTTTGTCAAGTAATCTACAGAATTCCAAGGATAGTGTTTGAGATCTAATATAATTATGACATATAAGAAGTTACTTGGGGTATGCATGCCCACTGTATTTCAACAGGTATCCCAACAGTTAGTAAAGTGATGAACTTTTATTGTCCTTCAACCATTATCTAATCAATACATGAGGACTGCAGCTTACGTTCCTGAACTACTGGCTGTTTGTCAGCAAATGAGATACTAGGCAGAGTTGTTTTGTCAAGTAATCCTCAGAATTTGGATGTCAAGGATACTGAAATCTAATATAATTATGATAAATAAGAAGTTACTTGAGGCGTGCATACCCACTTTCCTTCAAGAGGTATTCCAACAGTTAGTAAGTGATGAACTTTTATTGTTCTTCAACCATTATCTAATCAATACATCAGGACTGCAGCTTACGTTCCTGAACTACTGGCTGTTTGTCAGCCAGACACAGTCTCGAATCTTTCACAATAAACACTGATTATGTTGACAGATGCATCCAACAACTGCATCTCACACTTCGCTTGTTTCTCGAATTGTATGAATATCAGTGTTTGTTTTAAAGATGAGCAATTATCATCATAAAATGAACATAGATTCCAATCATTTTGTCACTTTTTATGAGCCAAAGGATCATAAGGGTCAGAAACATTCATGTTTTCCCATCGTGTTTACCACGAGAAGTTTTATGTACGTGTTAAAAAACCTATCATTGCTAAAATACACGGGGGTGCTTAATTAAGTTCTTTGTGTATATGTTCCTGGGCAACATGAACTCTCTTATCAGCAGGAGGATACCCATACTCTTTTTTCTGCCACTTTAGGATTGCGGGCAAGTATGCATCTGAACAAGGAAAGGTAGTACCTGAACATATCGAATATTCTACACGTGTACTGTCAACAAAGATAACTTTAGGTCGTTATAGAAGCATTATTTATATAATATAACATATATAACAACAAGAACATGACGATTCAATATCTTTATTTTCTCTACACTGAATTTGTAAAACATTGAAAAGCCACCATGTATTGATGTAAGCAATGTTAAACAGCAGAATTTCCAAAGGCCAATAGAAACAAATTGATTGATAATATAAAAAACGTTTGCATTGTGTGTGAATAGGCGAGTTAATGTATTATATATGAAGTATCATCACTAATTAATAAACAGACTCGCTCTAGTGCAAATGTGTAAGTTCTAATTTTTCAGAATGAAAAGAATAATCTATAGATGATATAAAATCGTTTAGCCAATAAATAACACACGTGGGTGAACAGGTGAATTAATATATGAATATATATATATGAATGTAGCGAAGTTGTATATAAGGAGACAGTCTTGTACCTTGTGACTAGGTTCATTGGTATCCCACCAAAACCTTTGAATTGAAGAGTTGTCTGCCCACAAGTACCTTCCCTCTTCTTGTATATCAGTGCCGCCAATCCAGAGATGCGTATCTAAAATTAAATAGTAGCAGTCAACACTTGAGAGTTAAAAGTCAATACCTTTTGAGAAAACCCATAACACTTTAACACGAACGACTGACAATCCCTCAACGAGCTTTAACGCACAAAGATATGGTATTTGGTCAGATGGACTGATTCTGATGGGTAGAATTCATTCTATAGCGTTGGAAGGTGGTCATTATAACAATACACTTGCAGTGTGTTGAACAGAACAGTAATCCAAACGACTCCTTCGTCTGGATGAAGTCGGCTGGTCTTAAATGTGAAATTGAGGGCTTTTTTTTGCTGCTCAAGACCTGTCACTTCCCACTCACAATCACCAAAATGTGATTCTTAAAGAAACTATTTGCATGAATGTCGATTGTGCAATGAATTTCAGAGTCTGTCCAACACCTTGTCAGAGGATGCCCATCCTTGGCACAAACAGCATATCTTAAACGACATGATGGCATGGTTGTTGCTTTTGCTACCGTCTTCGCCATGCCTGTGGCTTTGACTCAGAGGTCTATCCATAGTTCGACGCTGAACATGTCCAGGGCGTCATGGAAAGTGATGCTTTCACGTTTCTGTGGAATAGGCACATATACAGCTTGAGAAGAATTCCAGCGACCAAACCTGATCTTGCCCTTTTTGATAAAGCCAATGAATTTATTTATATCATTGAATTTTCTGTCCCTTTTGACAGCAATGGGATTGGCAAGATTCAGGAAAAGAATGCTAAATATGCAGACCTCGCCTTTGAAATGTCTCGCTTGCATCCAAAGTACACTGTCATCAGGCTCCTCATTGTTCTCGGTGCCCTTGGTTTGGTACCTCCTGATCCCCTTGGCGCAGATCAGGAGAGTGACCGGGCTCTCCACCGGGAGTACAGCCCTTCTGACGCTCTGGGTAATGCAGAAGGCTGCAGTGTTGGGGTGTCTACATATTCTCCGAAAAGTTTGTGGTGGGTTCGACCAGGCAGCGTTTCCTGGGAGAAGTCCCATTCGCTGTCTGGGCTGCTTGTAGAGGGGGCAAGGGTCCTGAGGTGATGATGAGCCTTACCAGCCCGACTTTGCCAGGGTCACCCGAACCCTCTCTGCTGCATTTTCATCATATTCTTTAAAAATACATAATTACAGCATATTTGTACCGCGCATATATCCATGCCTAAGCATGCTCAGAATATATAGCCATTTAGAAAAAAAATTGAAAGGCTGTGTTAAATATGTATGTTTTTAGATTGAATTTAAAGGTTTTTTGAAGTCATGTGTGCACTAGCAAACGGTTAATATCACGTTTTGATGCCTTTGACGGTACACTGAAATACTGTCGAACGTGATACAAATGTTAAATAAATTTCTGATTAAATGATGTAAGTGTTTTGGGATACTTTCAAACTGAGAATGTAAACCGCATAAGGGGAAATCTTTAATTTTCAGCCGTTCTGTGTGAACTGTAACGGTTGTGAGACATATGACGTCATTCTGGGGGTGCATTGACCTCAAGCTGGAATTTCATCACGTCGTGATATATTGCAAGAGAGGTAAATTTTAATCTTTTCCCTTTAACTGAATGTTCTTTGTTCTTATAAATATTTAAGTTATGTATTATCCATTCACCGTAGCCGAAACTGACCGCTTTTCCTTAATATGGGATTGACAAAAAGGGGTTAACTAATCACGGGCGCTTCGCAAATAATCAGATTGTAGCACATATTTGCCATTTGCCTTTAAACCCATGAAGATCCCGGTAAGAATTGGTCTTCACTCACTGCTTGTCGTAAGAGGCGACTAACGGAATCGGATGGTAAGGCTCGCTGACTTGGTTGACACATGTCATCGCATCCCAATTACGTAGATCAATGCTCATACTGTTGATGACTAGATTGTCCGATCCATTTATTTACATACCGCCGTCATATAGCTGGAATATTGCTGAGTGCGGCGTTAAGCAACAAACCAACCAACAAACCATTCGCTTTAAGGTTACTGTGACAAATGATTTGTAAATGACACTTGGTAAGAACGGATTCGAGAGCTGCGTTACGGTTATCAACTTTTGAGTACAATCGTTGCTTGCACTTTCTGGGAAGGTTTTAAAGAAGCATTGTACCACTCGTGTTTTATGAAAATTTCAACATCAAGATCTCAGTAAACCTTTCAAAAGATTTTGTGGTAGACATGTGGTGAGTGTGAGTTTTTAGCAGTATTCCATTAATATCACGTTGAGGACACCAGAAATGGGCTTCACACATTGTACCCATGTGGGAATCGGACCCGGGTCTTAGGCGTGACGAGCGGACGCTTTAACCACTAGGCTACTCCACCGTCCCTGTAGACATGTGGAGGGCATTTCTTAATTTGTCGATTCAGTGACAAAAACGTTAACCCATGCATTTCCTCATTTTGATATGCACCGTATGGTTTAGCAGATGATTCTTGTGAACGAGGAAGATTTTGGTGCTTTCATTTACTATAAACATAAACATGCACTTACTCTTTTTCAAAGCAAAGTGGTTCATCAGTAGATTTGTTTCGAGGTTGTCAACTTTAAGAAGATGTCCGCCATCTTGAATACATGCGTTTTCTGCATCCGTCCATGACTTGGGTGAGTCTGTGTGGACCTTATAGCACAGATCAAGTGTCCGATTCCAGCTGTACCCATTGCCACAGCCATCTGAACATATATACATATAGAGCTAGGTCATTTGTCAACAATGATGTATCTTAGAACCAGTGTTTTCCCTTAACCCTGAAAATCTGCAGGCCCTTAGGACCCAGAACCAGAAAAGGTTGTGGGTCCTGATCAGAATGTGTAAGCCCTATATTTTAGCTACAATATATGTTATTCCCAGCAAACAAAAACTGTGACAACTAACAAACCGAGTTGAAGAGTTTAATTTAGAAAACTAGAAATTACTGAATGATATTTACTGAAAAAATAATTCTCTTAGCTATTGGGAATGAAATCGCTGTTGGCCATAAGCAGAAAACAAAACCTGTGGGTCCCAGTGGTTTTCAGTCGGCTTTGGGCCTGAGGACCGACGTTAATTTCGAACGCTGCTAAGAATTCTCACAAAGTTCTGTGAACAGAGAATACCACACTCGTGTCTGTTGTTAGCAAATATATCAGCACGATTCGATAAGGGTTTAATGCTCAGATGCCAGTAATAACCAGTGTCTTCCTTTGTTTTATTGTGTTTGTAGGTTTCACAGCATCATGCACGTGCTTGTGGGTTCCACTAAAGTGGGTAACATCTCAGCTTCAACCTGAATCAATTTGGATTTTCTTCCCTCAGAAAGCAAACACGCTGTGATATATGTGGAATACTGTTAACCCAGTGTAACTCATTCAATGAAAACGTTGAAAGGCGTTGACAACGTTACAGAATCATCAGTCATTTATGTTTAGCATCGTAACCAACAATATGAATCGTTTGCCATGGCCAGAATTTGATTATTTGCAGGAACATCGTGCTACAAACTGTACAAGCTTATTTGGAAAGAATTTTTACAAAAGTAATGAAAAAGGTACCTCGTTTCCACACCAGATACTGCATGTCAGCTGAAACCTGGAGGCCATCCTCGGTGTAAACTGCATCTGACAGGTAACACGTCTTGGAGGAGGTCTGGTAAAATGCAGAGTAACAAGTGGCGTTGATGTAGCACTCGGTGATGCATTCATTTCGCGATTTAACCACTAAACCTTGTGGTAGAGAGGATTTAAAATAACCCTGTAGTGCCAACACAATCTGTAAACCTGTAAACATCATTGATGAGAACTGGTAAGTTAGTGAAGTAACTAAGTATCTCAACAAATGTGTTACTGTATGTCCTACAACAGGATATCTGACTGACGCCTAGAAAGTCACTCTCTAAATGAACTAGTGATAATACTGACGGGGAACGTGCAGTCAGTTACAGTGAGTTAATATTTCATCCGAGCTATTTTAAAGTCAGTTAGTGTCCCATGAACTAAATATCTAAATATCTAAACAAATGTGTTTCTCCATTATCATACAAAATGACGTCTGACTGATGCATAGAAAGTCACTCTCTAAATGAACTAGTGAGATATGGGAACTGCAGCTTACGTTCTTGAACAGCCAGATCGAGGCAGCCTCGAATGTTTACAATATCTTGTTTCTGGATCAGTTGTTTCTGTATGGGTTTCTACAAGACATCTGGTTGGTGCATGGAAGGTTAGGCACTACATGAACTCAATGGTGTGCAGCGATGACACTGGCCAGAAACGTACTCTCAATAACAATGAGTTAAGGATTCTGTTTGAAATCTAATATATTCATGACATATGAGAAGTTACTTGGGGCACGCATGCCCACTGTATTTCAACAGGTATCCCAACAGTTAGTAAGTGATGAACTTTTATTGTTCTTCAACCATTATCTAATCAATACATGAGGACTGCAGCTTACGTTCCTGAACTACTGGCTGTTTGTCAGCCACACACAGTCTCGAACGTTTCACAAAAAACACTGATTATGTTGACAGATGCAGCCAACAACTGCATGTCACACTTCTCTTTTATTTCCAATTATTTACGGGTTTCTGCTGAGAGAGATGAATCTGGACTTCGAAGTATTATTATCGAAATAGCCTCTGTGTATAATATTTCGTAAAGGCATTGAGTTCACCTAAATATTTTGCCCCATAACACGTGCATGGTGTGTCATTGTTGATTTTGACGGCTTTCCAGAAGGTCGATAAATCAGTGTAGACCATTTAGTTTGACAATGATCTTGCATCTGTTGATCACACAGTTGTTAGTGTTTGTTACTAGTCGGGGATTTTTTTGTTTGAATTTGCAGTGCGGCTTATGCAACGTGATGAACGTTTACGTGCAATTGTCATGCTGTAAACAGACACTACCCAGCGTGTAGTGGCCAATATCTTCAAAGTTTCGAGACCCGTGAAGATCCGGGGTAGAATAGGTCTTCAGCAACCCATGCTAGCCACAAAAGGCGACTATGCTTGTCGTAAGAGGCGACTAACGGGATCGGGTGGTCAGGCTCGCTGACGTGGTTGACACATGTCATCGGTTCCCAATTGCGCAGATCGATGCTCATGCTGTTGATCACTGGATTGTCTGGTCCAGACTCGATTATTTACAGACCGCCGCCATATAGCTGGGATATTGCTGAGTGCGGCGTAAAACTAAACTCACTCACTCACTCACATAAGAATAAACGTGATTTATTCGTGTACACTTCCCCTTTGAACAACAAACAAACAAAAGAACAATAATGTATAATGTTTTCGCCATCGGGACGGCACTGTTAATGTCATTCGACTCTCTTGGGGTCGAAATGACGTTACGTTAGAACCGACGTCTTAACTTAAATATTGTCGACGTCAATCGATAGAGGTTTAACATGACAAGGGTTGGTTAGTGTATCTATTCTAAAGGTGAGCTCAAAACGATTTACAATTACTTGTGCACAAACAAAATGTTACACTCTCATGTCTGTCATACTGATTTTATGGAAATCCTGTAAGAGTTCCTGTGTTAATGCTCTTCCAGAAATACAAAACTTCTGATATTCCTTCTGTAAAATCAGGAAGACACACATGCACGTTACCAGAAAGACTGACTGACTGAGTTTAGTTTTACGCCGCTTTTAGCAATATTCCAGCAACATCACGGCTGGGGACACCAGAAATGGGCTTCACACATTGTACCCATGTGGGGATTCGAACCCGGGTCTTCGGCGTGACGAGCCAACGCTTTAACCATTAGGCTACCCCACCGGCCACCAAAAAGACACATGATAAACAGTTGATGGCGGTTTACGTTCGGGTTAAATAACTTAAATTTCTCTAATTTATTTCAATTGCATCTGTGATTAACCATATGGGGCTATATGAACGTCGCATTTCTACTACCAACGTAAGTTAAAAACCCTAAAACCAGATGAAGCTGATGAGACACGCGACATTCCACGGATGCATTGTGGGACTATTGTGGGTTTAATTGTGAGTCTAGCTAAGACATTTTATCAGTCGAAAAGCATAAACGTAATGTGTCCACCAGTGATATTAGCCTACGGAGTAGTTGACTGTACTGTATGAGGCGTTTGATAACGAGGGGGTAGACGAGAATGGCGTTGTGACGTCAATACAGTGTCACTTAATGCTGTATCTTTGTACTGTGTCTTTATCGCCTGATAAAGTACAAGCGCCAAAATGGTCTTTATGCGAAACATCTTAGAAATCTTCATATTTCATATGTAATAGATATGTAGCTCAGTCAATACGCGGCCTTGGCATCAATCTAATCGTGGTAAACTTGCTCTATGTTATATTCATGAAAACTGGTATTTCAAGAAACAGTTTAGCTGAAATCGACCACACTGAATGATAGATTGGTTAATAAAAACAAATGCAGATACTTGTCACCATGACCAAGGAGGAGTAGAAGAGCAAGCATGCATATTAGAACAGCGGTTATTTTGATACTGGAAGTAATGGAACCCGCGCATAAATCTGTGAATTTTGTCAAACGTTCGCTCGTCAAGTCGATGACCCGGGTTCGATTCCCCACATGGGTACAATATGTGAAGCCCATTTCTGGGTCCCCCGCCGTGATGTTGCTGGAATATTGCTAAACGCGGAGTAAAACTGAATTCAGTCAATCAATACCTGGTGTGTACACTGTGTTTTGCGATATATGCATGACAATTAAGTGACATTCTCTTGATGAACTTGACTACGGTTGCTGTCGTATTGTCCGCTATTTGCCTAAGGAGCTACCTTCCGCCGGTGTTGGTCGCCGGCATCGCTCATTTCAGGATGCACAGTATCCCACGAAATCATACGGAACTCGACAAACATTATTGACTCACCAGATAAAACAATTTCAATGTTCAAGACTCACTGCCATGGTATACTGCTCACCGCTACGTCGGCAACGACGTTATCTGCCATCTGTGAACTGGGGGCAAAACCTTGATTGGTCTGTAAACATGGAGTAATGCCACTGGCCTACAGCCCTTCCTTGGTGATGCTTGGCAAACATAGATCTTTACTGTCGATAGTAATCTGTTTGCATCACGCCCTTTACATGTAGGGCGCCATGCCTTCAGGTGAGGAGAGGTGAGGTGAGGTGTGATGAGGTGAGGTGAGGTGAAATGGGGTTAACGTCGCTTATATGACGACGTGCATGCGCGTGTATGCGTTGCTGCTAGTACTAGCCCAGGTGAGGTGAAATGGGGTTTAACGTCGCACTTAAGAATATTTCTCTCATATAACGACGTGTGTGCGTGTGTATGTGCGGCTGCTTGTACTAGCCCCGACTTAAGCTGGTTTTATAGTGATAGCTCATTGAGATACCATGCCGCAGATAAGCATGAATACCCCACTCAGACACATTATACTGACTCCGAGCCGACAAGTCCTTGTTTTACCCATTATTACCGAACGCCAGGCAAGGACCAACAAGTACCACATTTTAACGTCTTTTGGTATTACGCGGACGGGGATGGCACCCTCGACCTTCCGCTCTCCGGGCGGACGCCCTTACCTTCAGGATGCCGGTTGCAAACGGTACATGTTGAAATCAGTGTTCCAGTTATTGTTGTTCCAGTTATTGTTCGAAATTTTCCGATTGGAAGCAGAAGCAGATTTATGTTGATTCTGTCGGACAGTGCAGTTACAGATCATTTGTCTCCAAAAGACGATGAATTGCAAAATAACTCAAAATCATAAACAATCTATGAAATGTCAGTACAGTTCAAGGAATACACTGTACTCAACAATATCTAGTGTTTGGTATTGTAACCACATCACTGAATATCATTTTGTCCTGTGTACAAGTTTATCGTTTAACGGAGGGGGCACAACGGTAGGAAGAACAGCTTATATACACGTACTGCACGTGTTACATGGTATACGTCGCTGAGAATATGGGCTCCTCAAACAGTTTGTTTTTAAGGTGTATGATTTCTTTCAATGTCGGGCCGCCTCCGTGGTGTAGTGGTTAGAGCGTCCGCCTGGAGAGCGGAAGGTCGCGGGTTCAATCCCCGACCGCGTCATACCAAAAGACGTTAAAATATGGTACTTGTTGGTCCCTGCCTGGCGCTCGGCATTAATGGGTACAACAAGGACTGGTCGGCTCGGAGTCAGTATAATGTGTCTGAGTGGGGTATTCATGCTTCACTGCGGCATGGTATCTCAGTGAGCTATCACTATAAAACCAGCTTAGGTCTGGGCTAGTACAAGCAGCCGCACATACACATACACTCGCATGCACGTCGTCATATGAGCGAAATATTCTCAAGCACGACGTTAAACCCAATTTCAGCTCACCTCTTTCAATGTCTTTCACGATACTAGTCACACAGTCGAGAAGTAACAATTTTGGTTTTGCTGTACCCGTGTTTCGTTTTGCCACATCTTTGTGACCCGGTAACGGCGAACACTTTTCTGGATGCATATACGTGCTGTTCATACATGACGTGAAACTGATTGGATGTTGCCTTCAGATGCAACTCCATGGTATTGTGAATATATATACAGAGTCGTGCAAAAAGTATTCGGACACTGGACGTAATTTCTAAAGACTTACATGTTAATTTAGTGTAGCATAAATAATTTTCATGAATTAAATTTTCTTAGGATCCAAGTCAAATTTTGCACATTTGTGAGGAATCATTTTACCTACAATCACATATTTTTCTGTTTAATTTTCCGTTGCTTATTTATCGAATGGCAACAATTTAATCAACATGTGTACAGTGCCGTGAACTACTCTAACATGGCGGCCTATGGGATTGT